AAAAGCAGGGTAAGCCATCTACTTGAGGGTTTGGGACTGATAATCAGCCCACAGATGTCCTGATTTGACACCTGTTCCATTAGAAATTTCATGGAGTACCAGCTATATTTTAAAATGATCCTGCATGGGTACTATTGCTGCCATACATATGAGCTGGGGGATGCACTTGGCAAGTGGAGCAATCTGAAAGAGAAAACTGAAGGTGTGTATGGGAAGCTGAATGTTGCTGCACCCAGTATTAGCAGTGGATCCAAACATGACATTGCGGTTCCATGGATTTTTAATTTTAGGAGTGTAAGACTTCTTGCATGGAGTAGTACTGCTGCTTCCTCACATCTTTGACCCTTCCTTTGTGAGCCATTGCAGAAGCAGCCAGAAACCTCCAGCTAGTCCTCTATCTCCTCTTCCTCCTCGTCAGGAGTAGAAAATATGCCACTGATTTCAAAGGGCATTGAGTAAGGCCAAAAATGTGTTGCTAATTTTGGCAGTCCTGGATGTGGGTAGATTGTTTTCCTGGGCCCTGTGGCAATTAGCTTACACCCTGAAGGAGGAGAGTTAATCAGCCTTATTGCAGAATACTTAACAACAGATACTTTCAAGGGTATGAAAGTCTTGCTGCAGTCTGCAGCTCTCTACTATTCAGGTCACCGGTACAAAGCTGCCATGTAGGGGAGGGAGACAGGTCATGGACCCTCGCAGGGGAATGCTATCCCATACATGGCCTCTGCAAATTCCATCTGAATTGGTATATGGGGAGGGTAATGAGAGAGGTGAACAGGGTTGTGGCTGATTGATCAGCAGCTACATGAATTCTTCAGCCAAACCCCTGTGTGAAAGGGATAAAGGACACTACAGCAGCTTGGCGGTCATGGCAGTAGCCCAAGGAGGGAGAGGCCACACTGATGGGAAAGACATTCTCTCCAAGAATCCGGCAGCATAGTGGGTCATTCTAAAGCAGTATTTGCTTGGCAGAGGCATTAGTACAGCTATATATAGATTCTCAAAAGGAGGTACGAGGCAATGCGAGAAAGTGAAAGTAATAATGTGTGCTGCATCATTGTATCACAAAACAGAGTCCCAAGTACAAGATTTGTAATTCACAGAGACTCATTTGTACCATATGGAGACTTTAAAATTATCAACAGCAGAGCTATAAACACAGAATATCCTTTTATCAGCCTCCAAGTTTTGTGCAAAGAAGCACAAAAGCTTATGTTCTCCAGTTACCATGAACTGGGGAGGCTGGTGAAATAATATACCTTCTTAGTGGTGACTATCTGTCATATGAGAATGAAATCAAGATATGAGTAATGGAATGGGCTGTTTGAATGCTTGCTTTGGAGTAGAAATGAGTGAAGACACTTAAAAACAGTTTGAGTCAGATCTTTTGTTGGTTTAGGCTATTCAGTGCCACTGAAGACAACTGGGGTTCCATGGGTTTGCTCTGCTGAGAATCTAACTCCCCAGGCCTGCTGCATACTAACTCCCCTGTCCACTGACCTCAGCAGATGTTGGACTGGGTTTGCTGAAGCCTTGTGATCAGGCCCACTGAAGCCATAGCAGTACTGGGTTTTATTAGGCAAGAGTGAGAAAATCTAGACGATTGCCCTGAAAAGCAGGTGCATGAGGTTCTGTGCTACAGATCTCCTGTGCTGTCAGGAAGGCTGTACCTCCTGCAGACTGTTCTCTGCGGAACATCATGGAGAGACTGAGCTGTGGGAGACAAGGGAGAAGTTGGAGAGTGGATTTGTTCTGCAGGCCTCAAAATTCCCCCAGGAGTGTGCACTGGAGTCTGCATCACAAGCACATCCCTTGGACCACCACAAAACACTAGCTCATCCCTCTAGGCATAAAGCTTCTAAGCTCCTTTAGCTCCTAAGCAAATTATCTGTTGGAAGCCAGTTTTTGTAAAGGGTCGGGGGCAGCATATTTCTGAAGAATTTATATTTACTGAAAAGATTCTGCAGCTTGATAGGAGATTATTTGGAGAAGCAGAAGGCCAAGGGTGGTGTCAGAGACTAGTTTAAGCTCCACAGTGGTAGTCAAGAAAGCTCAGAGGTGAAGCTTGCCTAATCTGAATTCTAAGAAGCAAGAGCAAGCAGAATGGTGTGTTGCATTAATAAGAAATGTGAAATATTTTATGTTGTGATTTGGACTGGGACTGACGAGAGAACATAAAAGTGAGAGAATAACATGCCCTGACAGGTTGAACAATTATCCCTTTAAAGCTTAACAGATTTTGGATCAGATCCTTTGTGTTGGATTTGTGTCACATCAAGAAAGCCACATGGAAAAGGCTTAGGGTCATATGACCAAAATGCTAAGGTTTTTTAGGCAGGGACTTGAGTATGAAGAGAATTTACAAAAAAATAAGATGGTTTAGCTGGGTGCAGAGATTTGAATTTTGTCATCCTTGTTATTTGGAGGTCACTGACATGTTTCCTAAATGGTATCAGTCATGCACTGTGGTTAGGGTGTTGTCAGCTGACCACCAGTATCTGAGTTATGGTTGCTGGTTAAACACATTTGTGGTCTTTGGTGAGCACTGATTTCTGGAGCCTGATCCAAAGCCCTTTGAAGTCCATAGCAAGACTCCCATTAGATCAGGCTCAGGGTGACTACCACTCTGAGATAGCTGCTTTCCACTGAAAAACAAGACACTGAAGACATCTATAGCATCATCTTCATAATATAATTGAATATCTTCAGTTAGAAAAAAATATATCCATCCCTTAATAACTGCAGGTCGTTTCTTTGGTGGGCTGGCTACAACTAAAGAAAGATGGAAAATACCATTCATGCTGAGGTTATAACTGCATGACAAAGGCCCTAGAGAGAAGTCGTTCTGGATCATATGAAGCTAACAGGACTCTGCTCTTACTGAATCCTGGAGGGTTTAAGCTAAAAGCTGCTGCTGCTACTGCTGCTGCTTTCTCACAAAATAAAGCTACAAGCTGAATGTAACAAAGAGCGAGGAGATGGCAGCACAGGGATTTCCAAATTGCTGCTTGAGTCTGAGCGCAAATGACATTTGATTGCCTTTCTGGAGTTGCATGATCCTTCCAATCTAATGTAAGCTGGACACTGAGGCTGATAGATTATTAGAAGAAAATGGATTTCTCTTTGATTAGCTTTGTACTATGACGCAATGGCATCGATTGATGTTAAAAGGAGGCCACATAAGCTTTTCCTTGTACTATATTAGAAATGACAGATGGCAGGACAAGGATAAATTCTTCTCAAAAGAACAGAATTGGGGTGAAGTGAATTTGAAAGAAAAGATCAAAGGGGGCAAGGAGGAGGAGGCAATTCTCCTGAAATAAAGATGCAACCTACAGTACAGCTTCACTGACACATTAATTTGATATGAATGAATCTTTGAGCATGCAGTAAGTGAGGACTGCTTTGTTTCCATCTATTGGGAAAAAAATTGAAAAGCCCTTCTGTACCACAGTTGAGATTCACTTTGAACAAGATCTCTTACTGAAATGAAGGGCTGTGCTCCACTTCATGTGCCAATGAATTATGAAAAACTCGGCTATTTTCCGACTCTCTGTATACTGCTTACATACCTACCAGAGATTGTAAAGCTAGTAGCTGTTCAGTAAAGAACAGAAACAAGTCCTTAGAATTTCCCCTTGGTCTGTGCCTCAGGAGTTGTGCAAATCAGCTTAGAGGGAAGGCTTGGGGGTGAGAAAGCAGTCAGCAGTGCTGATATAGGGAGATGTTCTTTCTGCTGCCAAAAAGCAATGATGAGATGCAGCAGCATTGTAAAAAGCCCTCTTGACTTCATTTACAGCAGCACAATGCCTTCCTGCCATGATTGGTACATTAATAAGAAATATATGCCTGGTATTCCATAGATTTCCATGGGAGCAGGAGAGATCCCCATTGTTGCATAATAAAAGGAAGGTGTATCAGTAAGACAGTAAGGTGAGTGCTAAGACTGGACTAGAAAGATCCAGTGGCTTATGGAAAATATGTTACCACCAAAAGGTTTAGTAGCAGAATTTAGTCTGTGAGAGCTGGAAAAATGGGATTTAGGATAGGGGAGCACAGGCATGTTCTGTCATGAGTCTGGTCCCAAGCCCAGCAGGGTTGTTGGAAATGCACGCTGGCTTAAATGAGCTTTGGATCTGACACTTAGATTCTAGCCAAAGGCTGGGGACAGGAATCTGCATTGCACAGGAGCAGTAAGATAAGGCCCCTTGTAGCATGGGTTGTGGTTCACTGCCTGGAATGGCTTGGTCTTATTTTACCTAACAAATCCATGTTGGTGCCATTTTCTCTCCAGCTATTTCCCTGTGGCACTTAGTAGGTTCTTACTTGTAGGGTACTATTTTACTGTGGCATGTTAGAATGGCTGGAGTGGATGTTTTTGTGAACCTATATGGACAAATGGATGCCTGGAAACTCAGGGGACTGGTCTTTTTAGTTTGGGAGACCCATTCTAGTCTTCTGCTCCTATGAAAATGTAAAAACAAAGTGAGCTGTGGAGAAAATGAAAAGAGGCAGTAAGTTGCCTAAGTTGGTAGCCTGGAGATCCATTGCCTTCCCATTGGGCCAGCCTGGGCAATGGGTAATGGTCAGTGGCAGCAGAAAGTCTGCAAATTACCACTTCTTTTCTGTCCAGAAAAGAGCCATGTAGTACCAGCCACAAAATAAATAAGGCCAGCTGGAGATAGAATGAGGCCAGGGCACCAGTGAAATCTAGTAGTGCAACTTGTCTTCTGACAAACATGTTGTATAGGCAGTCCTTCTGGCAGCCTGGTCAGAATTTTGCAATAGTCCTCTTCTGAGCATGACCAGGTATCTTTAAGCATTTAATAGGGTCATACCTTTGGGCAGCCCCATTTTGAGATTAGTAGTGAAACTTCAGTGAGCAAGAGATTTTTTTCATTGGCGCCTCAAGGACAACTCTGTTAATCGTCTGCAGCCTTTTGGGAATTCCTCTGTATTGTTAAATGTTTAATGCATTTCACTCTGTTCTGTGCCTGCAGGTGATAACAGCCAAGATCCTGAAGATGGTACTTCTTCAGTTACTATGGGCTTCTGCACCAGGTTCAGCGAGAAGGCAAATCCCAGGCACCATTCAGATACAGAGTTTCAGCCCTCCCAGCCTACTGACATTCTGTCATCTTGGACGTCTGAACATGAAGGCACTAATGAAGGAGCTAGCATTAAAAATTCTCTAAAGAACTTCTATGAAAAATGCTGCCAGATGCAGCCTGGCCGAGGGGATCCAACATACAAGGCAGCTTCACGGTGTCTGTCCCAGAAAATTTCAGAGTTGGCCAACAAGGATGGGACAAAATATGCCTTGCGCAGTCTCCAGATAGCTCAAATGGTCTTGAACAGAGATGACATCAAGGTCTTTCCAAATCATTCCCGTAATGCGTGTTTCTCAGCACCTGCTGATGGGGAAGCCACACTGAACAAGGGAAAGCAAATTCCTGGGCTCTCGGACGATGTCCTCCAATTCCTCTTAAAACAGGATGTGATGAAATGCAGCTCCTGATGTATTTGGTTTGGAGCATATGAGCAATTAGCATGGCTTAGCATGCCAGAAGAGGGCTGATCTGCATAGAGAAGGGATCCGTCTCAGGAAGACATAAATTATTTCTGGCTGGACATAAGGAAGAACTTCTTTACTGTCTGGGCCCCCAAGGTTTGGAATAGACTGCTGCCAGAGGGGGTTCAAGCACCCACTTTGAGTGCCTTCAAGACGCATTTGGATGTTTATCTTGTTGGGATCCTATGATCCCTGCTG